AACTGTGTCGCGCCGCTCGAAGGACCTCACCGGCGCCGGAGGCAAGAGATAGAAACAGAACGGAAGCCACGCCAAAACGAAGAAAAAGATGTAACCAACCTCTCCATCGGCCTGCTGGCTTAGCATCTCTTGCGAAATGGTTAAGCCGTAGGTCATGGCTTCGAGGCTGGTAAGAGCAAGGAGAAGCAAAGGAAGAAAAAGTAGAAACCCCCATTGTGGGAACAGACCCTGAGCAAATAAATCCAATAAATTTAGAAGACAATTGGATTGGAGATTACAGTATCTCCAAATAAATTCTTACTAGTGTAAATCTCTATAACCGGAATAATTTATAAAAATAATAAAACCTGACTGAATTCAACAATTTTATGTTTATCCAACCTACGGGTAAGAAGAAAACCATAAAAAAGAACCCCTAATTGTCTAACAAGAAAACAAATGAATAAATCGTTGGTGGAACCAAGGAAACATGGCAACATTATTGTGACTTCAGTTGTATGCTTTCTGGGTGCTGGAATCTAAAGTCTGCTGCGAACATAGCATGCTCGAGTCTTGATTAATTTCTTCAGTCGTCTCTTCATCCTCAATTTTTTATTGAAGGGATGCTCGGGTTTAGGAATGTCTTCCACAGTTTTGACCTCTGATAATGAAAAGAAGCTTCGTGACATCTCTTCGTAGTACTTGGAAAGCCCTCTCCTAAACAAAAGAAAGAAGAATCAATGAAACTGTTATGATCCAAACCTATGATAACAATGTGTATTACTAGAACTATAGAGTGAAAGAGAATTTAAAAAGAAAAAAAAAAAGGACAAAAAAAAAAAAAAACCAGTAATGTACTTGATGGGAAGTAGTTGAGAAAGAGAAGCCATGAAAAAGTTCTTGTCTGAAGATTCAGAATCGGATTCCTCTGAAGAGTTGAGAATGAAAACTTCCAAGGGAGAAGAGGAGATAGAGGTCGTAGCAATCGTGGTTTGTTGAACCTTCTCGTCGGAAGTGATTTGCTGGTTGGGAGAAGCGGATTTTTCCATCTGAAAGTGCAGTAGAGGATGACTGAATGAGGATATAAGACAATGTAGATGTATTTTAGAGTTGCAGATATAGGTTGTAATTTATATGAAGTTGCCCTAAAAAATCGGGGAAGAATAAAAATTTTTGGGCACAAGTCCTATAATCTCTAGGACAATGTTTTCTATTTTTGATAGGACTAGTACAATCTTTCTGTTTTTTATTGACTGTCAAATCTCTGGAATAATTAACAGATTTTGGATATACTATTAAAAAAATGAATTTGGTTTAAATGAATTGGTTTTAGTGAATTTGAGGTTGGTTTTGATAAAAAACCGATGGATTTTGGGTTCGATATTGGTCAAGAGGTCTAATAACCAAAAACCGAATAGGACCTCCTGACTAACCGAAATGAGGTCCAAGTCTTTTGGCCCAAAAAATGAAAAAAAAAAAAAAAAATGAAGAAAAAGATAAAGAACCCCAAATAGCAGTGGCAACAATGATGCTACCGTCGTACCGTGTCCGCCTTCCTCATTTTCACTCTCCCTCCATCTGGAAAAAATCCCTTCAAAGCACCAACCCCATTTTCCCTCCCAAAGCTACAACTACAAAGATCAATTTCCCTTCATTCTTGCCTAATCTTTCATGGATTTTTATTAATTTTTCTCAAGTATAAAAACTTTTATACTTGTATTTTTCTCATTCTCTTGAAAATCAATTTCCTTTTTCTAATGCTCTATCTCCATTCTCATCTTCTTTACTTATCACTACCACCACCTGCTGGTGGTCATAACCTCTTTCTCCCCTATTTCAATCATGATATACTACTATTGGGAACCAAAACCTAATCTTGGTTCAACATTTGATTTCGAGTTCATGAATCATGATACTTTCTTCTTTGATTACACTTCTAAGTTCTGATTTCGTGACTTTGTTATAAGGACAAGTTCCATATCTGCATTCAAGATAAAATAGGTAAAATATTCTCAAATTAGGATAATTGTTTTTGTTTAGGTTTCATCAAGAAATTTTTAAAATTTATAGTCATTTAATTAAACCTCTAAATCAATTTCAAATTTCTAATATTTATTATAATGTTAATGAAAATCCTAAATTATGCTAATACTTAATTGCTTACTGATATTTATTGAAATTTGGATGCTTCCAATTTGCATGGATTTATGATAATTCAATTGTTCATTCATGGTATAAATCTAATGTATTTGAAAGTAAAAACACAATTGTTCACATCAAATTTTCAAAGAAAAATTGCCAAATTTTAACTGAGTGAGGGATGCTTGTGGAAATAGTTGTAAGTTTATTAACATCCAGTGAAAACCAAAATACAAAAAATAAAAATTGAAAATTTCGGTACCCAAAACTGAATAAAAAGACAATATCAGTATTGGCATTAGCCTTGAAAATAAATATTAAAAAATTTTGGTTACTAAAATATGAGTTTCGATGGATGTCAAAACTGATATTTACCCACCCCTAGTTATTTTTTTTTTTGGTATTAATGTTTCGGTATCTAAAACTTACATTGTATTTCGATTAATTCAAAATCGAATAGGATCAGACCTCATAAAGAGGAAATTCTCTCAACGCTTGTTTCTTTATTTACAAAACTTGAACTTGAGATCTTAGTCATTAGTACGATTACTAATTATTACATCACCACTAAATTTTATTTATATATTTAATAGAAAAGAGAGAACTTCCTTCCTTTGTTTGGATTAGGAAAATTATAACATTTTTTTATAAAAAATAATTGGTATATATTTAATATGATATATATTTTTACATGCATATGATTAAATCATTAAAAATATAAGTTTTTATAATTTAAATTAAAAAATAATAATTTTTTAATAA